ATTAATTAAAAAAAAGTGAAAGTATAAATGCACAGGAAGCTTTAAAATCTTTTCATATCCAATTTGGTTGAAATTATTTTGAATTACTATCTCTAATAAAATAAGAGGAACCATACATCGGTAAAAAATTTTTTTTTCAAACAGATATGGATGTATGGGGTCTTGAGAACTAATATTTTAAGTTTTAACATTTTTTGTATATGTAATATGCAGATGTTATTATTGTTTGTGTACATCATAGTATCCATACAGACCTACAAAACAATCGCTAAATCAGTAAAATGGTTAAAATATTTTTATAACACTAGGCATACATTGACTAAAACTTATTATCTGCCGAAAATTGGAGCTGAAACTGTTCATATTCATAGTTACAAATATATTTATATCATCCTAATTCATGTATACGAAATTATTCATATATAAGAATAATCGTAGTAAGTTATTATTTTCTGAATTTTAATAATATGTCATATTCTGTTCAGTACAATATTATCTGTTCTTAATAATATGAATCAAATTTAAAGTCTTAGAAATTTTGGTGCAAATTTAATTTTCTTTTCGATTTTTTAAATTTTAAGTGACTTTATATTTATCAAAATGTTTCTTTCTACATACGATAAGGACTTCTCGCATCCTGTCGAAAAAAGACATTGTGAATTTTATAAGGTTAGATATGGCTTCTTGCCACCAAATGAAGTTAAAGATTGTAATGGCGAGAAAAAAATCGAAAAGGTAGAATCGAATAAAGAAAAAGAGGAACAAGAGTTCAAAAATCAAGTTGCTGCTACTTTAGGTATTGCCGATCTGCATTATAGCAAGAATACCGCACAACAAAGAGTATGGGCACCGTTTGCTCCAATGGGTCTTTTAACAAAAAGAGACTTTGTGCCACCACAGGAAGAAAAGTCTCCGGCAGAAGAAGCAGAATATCAACGAATTCAAGATTGTATGCTACAAATGTATAAGAATAGGCATAAGGCGCTAGAAGTGAAAGAACGCGTATTACCAAAATATATTACCTCATATCAAGTTGATTATGGTCCTGCGAAAATTATCATTCCATGTGATAAGAAAAATGTGAAAAAGGCTGTAGTTTTGAGTAAAAGACAAAGAGCTTTAAATGATCTAATTGAAAAACAGAAGAAAGTTTTTAATTTTAATGAATCCGGCTATGAGCCATTTAATTTGGCTTTCGTTGATAGTTCCGGATTCGGTCCTTATACTGGGAGCACATATTGGGGTTACAAAAAGTTTTCGAAGGATCCTATAGTCAGTGAATACATGTTTACAATAAACAAAAATGCAAATATGATAATGAATAGTAGGAAAAACATTTGTCGGAATTTGTTACGAAATTCATTATCCTAAATATTAGAAACAACAAGAGTTCTATTGATTTTTGATATATACAGAATGGGACATTAGATACGGCTGTAACTGAAGTCGAAAAAAATTTTGAAAAAAAAAGAAAATTAAATTAGTTGAAGTAGTATTATCTAAGTCCATGATTTTCGTGCTAAATTTTCCACAGCGATGCTCATAAAGAAAATATTTGAAAGGGCTATTTTCTCCTATAAAAAAGGTTTTTTTCGAGCAATAAATATGAAAATTATTTTTCAAACTCACATATACTTCTTTTATTAAATTTATAAGTCAACATTTTTCTTTATTAATAAACCGTAACTCTGTAAAAATACAGACAAAAGAGTTTGGTTGAGAAAATCAAAAGTATCATTTAAAGCGAGCGCTGTTTGTCAGTTTAACTCATCGAAGAGAAAATAAGGATTTCGATAATTGCTGCCTATCGAATATCGACTGATGATTTGGGTTATGACATGTTGTGTGCACTACTCATGTAAAGTGCTTCCACAGACGATCAGAGTTTATGATTACAAGGTCATAGTTAAAGGATACCAAAAAAAAAATATGTTACACAAACCGTATTTGTGTATGACAGTCTAATCACTGGAAGAGAAGTACTTAAAAATGTAGATAATTATTTATATTTATAAATATTATATTTATGGCTTTATCTATTTTCAGTATACTCACTCTATTCCAATTGGAAAGCTCAGTGTACAAAAGACATATTTAATATACCTTGAAAGTGTCCAACAAACCTTTAACGGTTCTCTGGCTAAATTATCAACGATTAGGGAAGCATGACGACTTTGAAGAGTTAACCAGAGAATGAGATAATACGATTCACTAGCGTCACCAGAACGGACATTTATATCAGGCACCACGTAAGTCAGTGTCCCCAGCTTTGACTGTACTGACCAATTAAGTTTGGCAGTATCGTGACGGCTGTGGTTAAAATCCAAATTTACGCGGGAAGAATAATAATATTCAATTATTTTTATTCGGCTTGGAGTTGCGTCTTCCCATCGGATGCTGTGAACCAAAGATCCACAAAGGTTGAATGGTCATTAGTTTTTACGAAGTAGAGAGTTATGTCAAACATATAACCTCAATTGGTACCTTCGAAATTTCTTGGAATTTCATGAGAGCATTATCTTGATACCGTGGTTTTGAGTTGATTGGGCAGGTACCCTCGTAAAACACTGGAACTTCATGTTTTTAATATGTTGGCCACTTCTGTTGGTTTCTGTGAAAATGGAGACATTATTTTTATATCTCAGCGTTTTAGCTGCGATTTCAATTACACACAACTTCTTAATACTTTTTGAAAATACTATTATTTTGATAATGGTTTTTTATTAATAAAACAATTAATTTTCGTTCCGTAACGTTTTAAGAATTTAATTACTTCATTTGTGGTTGCATATTTATCAGACCAATCCATTTAATAACAAACACTAATCTAAACGTTATTGAAGCTAAAGAATTGAGGAATTTAGTGCTTGATGAGTGCATACTATATGTGTATGTATTTAAGTGTGAATATGTGTACATTTGTGTGTATATGTGTATATGTGCGTGTGTGTGTGTGTAGATGGTGAATATTTGAAATTCTATTTTTCCGACTTCATCTATTGACATTTATAAAATGCAAATTGATGCGCCGTCGATTGAACTGTCAGTTGACATTTGCGCTACAATTGATGTCAATTAGCGTCACAGCGAAAAATCAAAAGAATATCGTCGGATTTTTCCCAGAGGAACAGTAACGATTTGGCTGGCTGGCTGGCTTCTGCTCCCAACATGTTTGCATGTGTGCGCACATCGCACTCAAAACTTTTTGGAATCGTAAAAGTACATTTATTGATTGGGAACGCGTAGGTTTTGCGTGGATTTCCATTAATTTTATTCGAGATTTTCCTTAAAAACGAATGAAAATTTCCATAAAACGGTACATAATTTTACTTAAATTTCACGCTTAAACTTAAGCTCGACGTGAGGCACGGCAGACAAAGGAGGCAATTTAATATTATTTTGTGCGGCTGTTTTCCGCTTAAGGCTTAGACTACTCAATTTCATTCAATTTGTGTACGGATGACGATGTCAGTGAGTGTATGAAGGATTCGATGAAGGAGCGCTGGTGAAAATGTATTTAGCGGTTAGTAGGCGAAATTGTTTGAGTTCCAGTTTGTGTTTGTGTTAGGCTTTTCCACAATTTTGCGTGTATCCGCATTCATTCTTTCCATTTGAAAATTGAACTTTTTTATTAGGGTTGCATAGACCAGTTAGTCTATAGTTCGATAGTGTACTAGAACAATTCACTTTCGCTATGTATATTGCGTTCAGTATGAATAATTCATTCATTTACGCTTAATATTATTAACTCAAGCGATAAATTAATGTTATGTATGTTATATTATGTGCTATTCTTCTCTCATACTTTCTTTTTTGGTTTATTGCGTTACTGTATCCTTTTATATAGATAAAATTTTCATCTTATTGATATGGTTTTTATGAATTCCACTTGAGTTTCGGATGTTGCATATCGATAACCTATTTTTAATCTACCTGTCTGTATTAATACTAGTCTATTGTAATATTTTATTTTTTTTTTTTTTGCAAAGTAAATATGTCATGTACGATGTTATATTATTAAGGGTCAGAAAGCGTTCCAGTGCTGAATAGATTTATTGTGCATGTTCTCGAACCCTAACCCTATATATTTAGGCAAAGTAAATATGTAATGTAAGATATAATATTATTAAAGGTCAGAAAGCACTGAGATCTGAATAGATTTATTGTGCATATTCTCGAATTCTAACCCTATATATATAGGTTCAATACAAATTTTAGTAAAATCTTGGTTCCACAATTTATATCGAGCCATAACAAAAACATAAAATTAAAGAATAATTTATCTGCCAATGCCTGACTATGCATAAAGGATGTGTTCTAAATCTTCGACATCCATTTAATAAAAATGAAAGAGTTAAGAAGCGGAGAGTCCAAGTCAGCTGAGTCATACCCGAAGTGGTAATACCTTACAGGTAATCACATAAAGTCCTCAAATTTACACTGTTTAGTTAGAGTAATAAATTTAATATTTCCTTTGCTGGGTTAAAAACACGTTTTGCAAGATTTCTATTTAGTCAGTGGTTTGAAAATATTTTCTTCTCACATTTTCTGCTTACCTGTAATCGATGACTTTTTTTAAGCCCACGGAAAAACTTAGGTCCAATTAAAAATATTTTTACCTCAATGTAAAGTAAAGGTGGATCACATTAATAAGTTCGAACTTATTAAAATGGTGTCGCAAGCCTGTACAAACCTCAAATGTATCCTACTTAGCAAAAGCATTAAACTAAATATCCTTTTCGCTAGAATAATAATATGTTTTACTAGATACTGATCTATTCAATTAAGCCAGTGGTGTGGCTTTTCTAAAGAGCTCCATAGAATATAAATAAAAATAGATAGAAATAGATATATGGGTATAAATTTGTTTAATATGATCATAACTCTTGATTTAATAAAAATATATAAATTCGTTCTAATAAGTACTATATATATCAATTTACAAAAAAAAAATTCCAATGTAAATTTAAATACAGTAAAGAATAGAATGAACCCTTTTAAGTTGCGTGCAAGAACTGCACTCAAAAATTTTATTTAATATATGTTTTTTTTTTCGCTGCGGTTTAATGCGCGCCGAGACCAAGTTTTTCGATATTTTTGGCTAAACAAACACAAATATCTTTTAATATTGAGTTAAGTCTACTTATCTGTAAATCCGGTAAATATTCTATAAATAAGGCTTAACGTCAAAATAGAAAAGTATTTTGGATGGGCATAAACCTTCGTACTTTTACGCTGTTTATAGTGCAAACTTAGACCACTGAAATCCCATTTAAAAAAAAAAAAAACTTTTATAAATGTAAAAAACTTGGTTTTAGGATTCGCTATACATTTACATTGTTATCGAAATTATTTCACTAATTTTTTGCTTTAAAACATAACTAATAAAATCTGATATTTAGATTCATTGCATACTGTAAGGACTGATTTCAAAATTATTTATATAATTTATTTTTGTTTGAAAATATCTTCAATATCTTCACCTGACCTAGACGTCATCAACCAGATATGTATGGTTGAGCTTGTAAACGGTGCATATAATCATAATATTGATCCGGGTCCAAGTAAACTAATTCCAACTAGAAAAGAAAGATTTTTATGAGCATGAACCGTATTGAATCTAATCACAAAGCAGAAACAGTGTAAAAGTACAGACGGGCCAGCAGTTATTATAGCTCACAAATAGATATCTATACATATATATACAGATATATCTATATCTATAGTTTCTACTTTCACTTTCATCATGAAATTATAAGTGAAAAGTTGTAGTTTGTTTTAATACCAAAATTTATCGACGTCCTCCTGTTTACATGATTTTCATCAATATCGATCGATTAGATAGTGTCACATAAGTAGCACTTATTGGAACTTTAAATTTAATTTCTTAAGCTTAGGGAATAAGGCTTTGTGAAATGAGTTGTCGTAATTACTTAGATATGAGCAAGAAAAAATTTTACGAATAAATGTTTAATTTTATTTGGATTTGGATTTAATTTAATACAAATCCAGATATAACATATGTAGGACAAATGTCGAAAATAACTTTTTCTATTGTTCACTCTAATCTAGTCTTAAAAAGTAAGTACATTCCTTCTCTCCTATTATTCCTCATTAGGATGAAGTCAATAAAACGTCGCAATTCATTTCATTAAGATTTTATTTAAAAATTGATTACTTTAAAAAGTTGTAGTCCTCTATAAATAGATAGGGCCAAAAGCAGAAAACACTCAATAATTCTGAACCGAATTCAATTCCAAATGTCGAATATG